GATTCACAAATAAATGCCAGGCAAAGTTGTGGTTGTGACATAAATATATATTTGTGAATATGTTTTTTATTTGCAAATCTCATTTTATTTATTTGTGAATTTAATTCATGTTTGTGAAACTTTAAGATTTATTTGTGGATCTCATTCTATTTATTTGTGGATCATAATCTATTTATTTGGATTTAAGCAACAATTCTATCTCCATATGTGATCAAGGAACATAACATGTAGTAAATCTGAAAGGTGCCATAGAATGCATTGATACAATATTTTAAATTGTTCTCTGATATCTACATAGAAGGTATGTGGCTTAGTTAAGGGCAAAACATCTCCAGAAACGGATTTACATGTCCATTTACAACCCTAGGATTTGTCCTTAGAATGAAATGTTCTGTTTTTACCTTATTTGGAAGGGTCACGAATAATAATGTTGAGCTCTGCTCCGATTGGCTGTTTCGCAGTGCGGCTCGATGTTGAGCTCTGCTCCGATTGTCTGTTACGCTGTGTGGCTCGATGTTGAGCTCTGCTCCGATTGGCTGTTTCGCTGTGCGGCTCGATGCTGAGCTCTGCTCCGATTGGCTGTTTCGCAGTGCGGCTCGATGTTGAGCTCTGCTCCGACTGGCTGTTTCGCAGTGCGGCTCAATGCTGAGCTCTGCTCTGATTGGTTGTTTCACAGTGCGGCTCATTTCAGTAGCTCACATGGCAGGAAGGAAACACAGGGAAAATATATATTTCAATACTGTCTCTCGCATATCGTTAGGTAATTATACTGTATATAAAATGCGGGCATCAGGGAGCCGCTGTTAATATGCGGGGCATTGAAACTGCTTTCGAATGCACAATGGTTTTTTACTTTCACTTTCGAGATTTGCGATCGCACATGCTCTTTGTAAACTACAGCGGCAGTACTTACTACACATTTTACAAGATCAGATGCTTGTCAGTGGTGCTCAGGATCTGTAAATCATTCGCCATCGTCCTCAGTCATCTCTCCTTACTCTGTTTATGTGGTAAGTGAAATCTTATGTACTATAATGTAACGGGCTATGCTAGCAAGCAGCTAACCATGCCGCTTTAGTGGCTCGTTATTTGTTTTCCGTGCCTTTCTGAATACAGACACCAACCCATCCCTGCACAGCCTGGAGCATTAACATTTATTTCCGTGATCTGCCATTTTCACTATTATCCTCGCTCGTTTCTTCACTATACCTGCTGAACTTCTAACGGTTCGGCTGGCGCCTGGCATAGAACATGGGCGGGTATATGCAAATGTTGGGGGCGTACATATTAGTGATCCCAACTGTAACGTCACAGTC